TAGAAACTAAAATAAGTATTTATAAAAGTTTTGTACTAAAACAAAGTATTCGGAAAAATAAAAATATAATCTAAACTCATTTTTTCTTCATGTGAAGGCATGAGTGAACTTAAAAATTTTAAATTCTCAAATGGTGTAACCCTAAAAAACGAGCTCAAATTTATCAGTTAAGTCATCAATATGACTCGGAATTAGAAATGAGTATGTTTTTATGTGAAAATGAAACCAACTTAAATAAATTAAAGGTATAATAATAATAAATGCTCAAAATAAGGAATAAGCCTTTTATATTTATGTAACTTGTCACCAAATTGCTGCATTAAACACTGAAAAATAATTGGCCTAGTGAAGCCTATAACTGTTGTATATATTACTCTAGCAAGCTAGGCACATGCACTTGTTTTTTTCTTACAAATTATGTACCTTTGTAATTTGTTTTGTGCCTCCTCCTTTTTAGGGTTTGTGTTTTCTTCAGCTTATTACATGCATTCTTATGACCAAACAAATTGGTGGGTCCCAACGACCCATTTAATTTTCACAATTTTATTATTTCTTTTTTTCATTTTCCTCCTTTTTTTTTTTAGTTAAACTTATTTACATATGGGTCATTTCAAGTTTGGATATATCTATGATTTTTGTTCATGAACTTATGTCATCTATATGTTTCCATACTCACACAAGTCTATACAATACCAAATATATAATTGGAGTTGAATTACATGCACAATACATAAAATTAATAACAAAGACACAAAAAATAAAAGGCTAGCTAAAATAAAATATTTATAGTTTGATTGCTTTCTTATAGTACACAACATGTGGGGGTGTGGGATCGAACTCACAATCTCTTGGTTAGATATGTATGTCAATTACCGTTGAGATATGCTTGTTTTTACCGTGTTATTTGATTTTCTGAAAGGATGAGAAGGTAAGAAATTAAATGGGAGACAGGCAAGTTTGGGTAATATATATATTAATTGGGTAGTATAAGTATTGAATATTTGTGTTTAAAATAGGAAGACATAGGACCCATTTAAGGGGAGGGCATAAGGGACCCAACATGTCTTGGTATTATTAGGACAAGATTAGGGATAGATGCCTTTGTGTGGGCACCCCAATGTTGGGTCAACTACATAGCATATTTCCCCACCTAAGCCACACAAACAAACCCTAAAAATAGACAGCCTTGTTCCCATGTGCTCAAATTTAAGAGCAACATTCCAAAACGACAACCTCCTTTGTGCCTCTCTCTCTAAAAACATCTTTTTGGAGAACCCTTGGAACCCATTCCAATCCCTTTACACAATTTATGTTCCCTTTTAACCTCTCCTAACATAAAATATACACCATCGTTTCTATCACTGTGACGCTCGAGCAGAGAAGAGGAATACACAAGTGGGTTCCTAAGATAGATCATGAAAAGCATGGTTAAGAAAGACATAAAAAATTTGATAGTTACTACCTATAAGCTAACAATGTGCACCTTCTTTTTGGATTGGTCAATTATAAGAACTCCAAAATTAAACGTGTTTGATTGGGAGCAATCTTTGGTCAGTCGGATTCCGAATCCTAATCTGAATCTTGGGTCTGGGGCGTTATAACAGGCTCCTACTCAATTTTGATATATCCGATACAAAATAAGTTTTAAAGTCTATCTCGATGATGATATATTTGAGTTTCTAGGATATTATTCAATTTTGATTTTTAAATTTTCAAACTTGGGTCCTGAACTAATTATGACAATCTTCCTTATAAACATTTTTAATCTTTATTAGTGCTAAATATTTTGTAATTACGATATCTTAATTGGAGTGTGGTTTTTTCTAAGCCTTCTTCTTCACCGACCCATGTCATCAAAATTAAGTAATTAAATGTGTTTCTACTATTTAGCGTGGAGCCTAAAAAAAAAAAGTATTGAGCTTTATCAAAAGGTAATCTTTATATGCTTGAATAATTTAATGATATTTTTCTTTATATCGTGGAAGAAAGATTTGGTACAAATTAATTTCCCATGTCCCAAATGTAGGCATATAATATTAAATTACTTGAATGTATACATATATATAAAAAAAAGGTGGGGTTTTCAAAATCAATGAGCTAATCATTCGTACAAATAACATGAACGAAATTATGTGGGAAAGTTCGAATTTATTTCTTCTCAATCATTCTCTAAAGAAACATACAAAGAAAATCACAAGGGGGATTCTAATTTGTTCTTTATTGACTATTAATTTTCTAAAGAAAAATCATGTTTTAATTTAAGGGAAAGTGAAATTGAATTTTATTTCCTCTTTTTCTTCCCCTCTTTTCTTGATTTACAAACCCACCTTTCCTTGATGGCTAAATTGAAATCTTTCACTTCCCATAATAGAAATATATCAAACTTTACCTTAAAAGTTTGGAAAGTTTGAATCTTGGTTAAAAGAATGTAGAAATTAACATATAATAAAGGGATTCAATGTATATTTGAAAATATTCTTGTAAAGTGACTACTCATTGAAATTTTGACAAAGAAATGTATGCCCTAGAAAAGCCTAATCAGAAAGTTGTATGTGAATGTGAATCTTTAAGGAAGAATGGTGATTGGTGAATCTTTTATCTCTCTACTTAAAATTGAAAAAAAAAAAAAGGAAAAAAAAAAGCTCCAATTTTCAAAATGGTAAAGAAATATTTTTAGGCTGAATTCTAGTAGTAGGCCACCTCCTATTTCAAGAAATTCATTTTCTAATATTTAGCTTGATATATATATATATATATATATATATATAAGAAAAACATCCTAATCAAAATTTAATGTATGATTAAAAAGAGATTATTAGATTTTGTTGTTTTTCTAATTACAAAATATTTACTGTTAATAGGTCATATCCAACAATCTTTTCCCCTACAAGGACTACTCTTAAATTCATGTAATTAATAACTCCATTTATAATTGTAATTCCATATTAAATTTATGTTGATAATATCTATTTCTTATGGTCCAAAAAATTGGTATTATTAATTAAAAACAGCATGAAGAAGATCCTAATTAGGTATGTGAGAATCAATATGCACAACTCATGCTGCTCTGTCATCTCCCAATCATTACTTGAAGAACACCTCAAATATAATCAAGAAAAAAATAAACCATTTGAGAGCTTAAATCCAAAATAATGTCCATAAAAAATAGAATAATTAAAAATTCCAAATATTATAAAATAAAATCATAGTGATCACAAGGAGAAGATAAAGGAAAATTGATAAAGTTATGGTTACTAAGCTAAAGACAATCTCATTTATTACATATTATTTAAAGATAAATTTTTTTTGGATCTCTCTCTTTTTCTTGGGGAAATTGAAATTAATTAATTGCATTTATTCCTCAACAAAGTACCATAATACAAAATGGGGCACGTTTTTTAATTAGAATGTCCTACTTTCATATAATATATGCTTTATTTAATTAATAATAATAGAGTTAGAGATAAATATTTGCATATATTAAATTGTCTTTGCTATTAATAACTTTGTACGTTTGACCTGAGTTGGATCCACATCAAGAGAGAGGATATATTTATTGTGGAGTGGACAAAAACATTATTTACAAAAATATTATATTAATTAATAACTTAACAATAAATTAAATTTTGTGGTTTAGAGTAGAGTAATATAAGGGAAAATTTTGTCATACCTAAGATATTATATGGATGAGAAGGAAGGTTTTATTTTATAATTTTTCCCTATTTCTTTTGATTTATTTTCTAATTTTGTTTTTTTGAAATGACATCACTATACTGTTTTGTTCCTTTCTATATCATTTAATTTCTCTTCTGAAATTGAAATTGAATTTTAATTAATCATTATTCAACTCTAAATTGTTATCAAGTAAAGCAACCCATCAGGAAAAAAAAAAGAAAAAAAGAAAAAGACCTTTTGATTTTTCTTATTCTAAATTTATTCCTTTTCCTTCATTTGATTTTCCTTACTATTTCAATCATCTTCCATATCCTCGAGATATAATTTTTCATTTTATCAAATCAACTAGTAAAGTCAAATTGTTTTACGATAAAGCTAGAATTTTTTTTTTAATTTTAATTAGAAACATAGGATGAAAAATAAATTACGAAAATAAAAAAAAATAAGAAAATAAGAAAATAAAACATATTTTCTTACAATACTCTACTTAAAAGGACATATATAAAAATACTAATATACTCTAAAGTATATTAGTACATCATCTTTATTAGAAAAAATAATTATCCAATGTAGCTATCTCGATTACTATTAGACGTGGATCTAAAATTTATCTATTCCAAATAATAATTATTCAATACCACTTCAAGATAAATTTTATAATAAAATTTTCTCTCATTTATTCCATAGTATACAATCTTCGGTCATGTTACATGAGCTACTCAAATAATTTCTCCTCTATGAGACACCCTTTAATAATATCTCTTGACCCATCAATTTTTTCTTCTAACCTTGTCCTTTTTCTTTCCCCATCTTCATTTCTTTAAATGACATCATTCTTTTTGTAAAGAGATTTTTACTGTCTCTTGACCATCTTATTCACTACAACAAGAATAAAAAATAAAATTAAGAAAAAATATAATTTAAGGGCATAATTAAATAGATTTCTATTCATCACGGTTAAAAATTCGACAGTTATTTATTTTATTTTTTCTCTTTGTTCTTATATTTATCTCTTTTAACTGTAACTTTTTTTAGTACGAACAATTTAGAGATACAAATAATCGAAGTTATTTATTTTATTTTATTTTTCTTTTTATTCTTATATTTATCTCTTTTAATTCTAACTTTTTTTTAGTACAACAATTTAGAGATACAAAGAATCAAATTTTTGACTTTGAAGAAAATTTACGTGTAAATTATCGTTAAACTAGGTAACAATTAAAAATTATTTTAAATGATGTGATAAATAAGAGAATTTTGGAAATGAAGATTTATAGAGACCCCTCCTTGGGTTCGTTGACCCTTAGCATTCCAATGGCGGCCCCTACGCCGCTGGCCTTGCTTTCTTTCTCTCTCTTTCATTAAATTTCTCTCTCTCTCTCTCTTCACTTTGAGTATTTAAAAGCGAAGCCACGAACTCTACAAACAAACCAATATAAACAGGAAAATTAAGGCGATTGAAGAGAAGAGAGCAATCAAAAATGGAGGGAGAGTTTTACGAGAGGGTTCAAGTATGGGGTTTGTGCTTGTTTCTGGCGGCGGCGGCGGCGAGGGCGGGGGTGGTGCTGTGGTGGCGGCCGAGGAAGATCGAACACCATTTTTTCCGGCAAGGAATTAGAGGTCCCCCTTATCGTTTCTTCATCGGAAACGTCAAAGAAATCGTCGGAATGATGCTTAAAGCTTCTTCTCATTCTCTTCCTAATGCCTCCCACAACATTCTCCCTCGTGTTCTCCCTTTTTATCATCATTGGAAGAAAATTTACGGTACCCATCTCCTTCTTTTTTGTTCCAAAGTTCAAAATTTTTACCACCCAGATCAAAAATATCGTATCTTAACTTGTTGAGTATAACTCATGGGAAGTAAATCTATGGTACCCATCTCTTATTTTGTTCTAAAGTTCAAAATTTTTACCACCCAGATGATACAGTATCTTTTAAGTTGTTGAGTTATGTTATCAGGAGAAAATCTATGATGTCCGTCTCTTGTTTTGTTCTAAAGTTCAAAACTTTTTACTATCGAGATGATTAATATTGTCGTCTTAACTAGTTGAGTTATGTTTATGGTTTTAAAGGTTCGAAATTTCTGGTGTGGTTCGGGCCGACGGTGAGGTTGGCGGTGTCGGATCCAGACCTGATCAGAGAAATCTTCACATCAAAGTCAGAATTGTGCGAAAAAAACGAGCCTCACCCACTGGTGAAACAGCTGGAAGGCGACGGCCTGCTGAGCCTCAAGGGCCAAAAATGGGCTCACCATCGCAAAATCATCTCCCCTTCTTTCCACATGGAAAATCTCAAAGTAAGAAAAGAAAAGAAAAAGATTTTTTTTTTTCTTTTTCTTGTTCTTTTTTTAGTAAATTTGAATTAATTGTTTGTTTTTTTTTAGTTGTTGATTCCAGTGATGGCAAAAAGTGTTGTGGATATGTTGGAGAAATGGTCAGCAATGACAGGAGATTCGGGTGAGGTGGAAATTGAAGTTTCAGAGTGGTTCCAAACCCTAACAGAAGACGTCATCACTAGGACCGCCTTTGGCTCCAGCTATGAAGATGGAAAAGCCATTTTTCGCTTGCAAGCCCAACAAATGGCCCTCGCCGCCAAGGCCTTCCAAAAAGTTTTCATCCCTGCCTATAGGTACCCTTTTAACTCTTTCTTTTCGAGAAAAATCCACTATGGGAGTATCATACTTCCTTTTACTTACAGAAGGTGTTCCCGTGCTACCGGAGAGTTTCAAATTGAGTAAATGAGTAGTGTCAGCTCTTTAAGAGATTGAGATTGACGTAGAGATTAATTCTCAATCTGTTTCTTTGATTTGTTAGATTTTTACCTACAAGAACGAATGTAAATTCGTGGAGATTGGACAAAGAGATAAAGAAGTCGTTGACGAAGCTGATCGACCGGCGGCGGGAGAATTCGGTTGAGAATGGTTCGAAGGATTTACTTGGATTGATGATTCGAGCCTCCAACTCTTCTCCTTCCGCTATTACGGTTAACGACATTGTGGAGGAGTGCAAGGGGTTTTTCTTTGCTGGCAAACAGACCACTTCCAATTTGCTGACGTGGACTACCATCCTCATGGCAATGCACCCACAATGGCAGCTAAAAGCACGTGACGAGGTACTGAGGGTGTGTGGAGCACGTGACATTCCCTCCAAAGATGACGTTGCAAACCTCAAAACGGTATGCAATTTTTTCTTTTTGCAAATTTATCATTTTTAACACATTTACCATTACAAAGGGTAGTTTAGTAAAATTAGAGTTGGGGGCTTGTTTGTGCAGCTGAGCATGATCGTCAACGAATCGCTACGGCTATACCCGCCAACAGTGGCAACTATTCGGCGAGCGAAAGCTGACGTGGAGCTAGGCGGTTACAGAATTCCACGTGGCACCGAGCTCTTGATTCCAATCTTGGCCGTTCATCACGATCAAACCATATGGGGGAACGACGCGAACGAGTTCAACCCGGAGCGATTTGCAGAGGGTGTGGCCCGGGCAGCAAACCATCGGGTCGGGTTCATACCATTCGGACTCGGAGCCCGAACCTGTATTGGGCAAAACTTGGCTACTTTGCAAGCAAAGTTAGCTCTTGCAATCATACTCCAGAGATTCTCTTTTCGAGTGGGACCCTCTTATCAGCACGCACCAGCGGTCCAGATGCTACTTTATCCACAATATGGTGCACCCATTATCTTCCAAAAATTACCCATCTCATTCATCCAACGGTCATGATCATATCATAACCATTCATCCCCCTACCAAGTGAAATCTCCAAACTACCCTTGAACCCACTGCATAATAACAATCATCCTCCAAAAAGCTAACCTCATGCCCTTGTTTTTTCTTTACCCCTTGTGGAAACTTCCAAGAAA